ATGATGTCGTCGAGATATAGTAGCCCTCTACGAAGTGTAGACATCCTGTCAAAAGTGATCGATTTCTTTAGGCTACTAATAAATAAAAGACCGATCACTATTCGTAAAAATCCGTTACTTGCTTCCACCCAAAGCTTTCATCACCAAAACACATCATGCGTCAGACCCGTATCGCCTCATCAGTTGACGTCGTCACCATCGCGGCATGCGACAAAGGATAGCCGGGCGATGCGAAAGTGCATACACTACCGCATTAAGTTGATCCAGCATATACCGGTTACTCGGCAAAGAAAAATAAGCATCTTGCCTTTCTCTGTAAGAGATATGGTGACGACGTCGCTATGCGCAACAATGCATGCTATGTATAGATCCGAAACAGTTTCGAGAGAAGCAGATACATCCTGAATCTGACGAGCTCATACTTCATCGCACTTAGCGCTTTATCATGGAAGAGTAAGTCCCAATCTACCAGATTAGGCTAGGATGACTTGAATGCAATGATACGTTCATGCCCCTCAACATCTGCTTAAGCATAGTCTATTGCAATGGCCGACGTATCTCAAACAACGTGAAAACTCGTTCTGGATTTGTAAAAGTCAGGATCAAGGCACGCATGAGGTGTCAAGGCCATCTTTTCTGCCGCTCACCTCAATACCATCTGGCATCCTTCTTATGAAGATTGGGGTGGGGTCATGCTACTTCGGCATTGTTGGACCGTACTTGTGCAGGTAGTCGTTCAAGCCAACTCCTTGAACCTCTCGAAACAGATGCACTGTCCAACTTACAATTGTTTTAACCTTCGCGGGTCTACCCGCTGACCCTGATACCGAATGCAGCAACCCAGGAGGATTTTTTGCCGGTGTCAAAGATACACATGTGAAATCGCCTTCCGCATCCGACATTCTGTGTCGCTAGCTATACTGTTATGCGGCTGATCCTATCCAGGAATCAACGTTTGCAACAAATTTGTTGCTGCATTTAGCGTATCATAGTCATGCACGATTTGCCACTTACCATAAGCATTTCGGCACCTCAGTTTCTCTCTACAATCGCTTTACGCTTTGCATGGAAGAAAGCGTGAAAGAAGTCCCATTTATCCTTGGTGAGATTTCACTTCGTAAACCAAAGCAGTTTAATGATGCACTTTCTTTCCTAGGGGTAACACACATTGTATTCCCTTGTGTAACGGGGTTACACGTACCCTGGTAACTGGTGTGTGTGTGTATCTCACGAGATGAGCATGGTGTGACTGCAACCAAAAAAGAATACGTTACGTGGGTGGGTAGCCAGTAGTTATGCATGTTTTTAGGTTTTACTATATATATTTTGGAAAATCTATACATTTAAAATTAGGCGGCTTTGCCGCAGATATGCGTAGATGCAGTTTACATTTTAAACAGAAGAGTTTTGAGCCTTGGTTTGAGGACTTCACTACTCTTCGAGGTAGCGGATTGCGATACGCTACACTCGTACTGGTTTTTGTGAAGAACGTAAGTTCGGTGACTTAATTTACGCATCCTCAAAGCGCAAAGCTTCGGCAGCCCCGCTGCACTTGGTAGCACTTGTAGTCAAACTACACCTGCGTCGTTTAGACTGACCCTCTGTAAGAAGAAAGATTTTTCCTCTTTGCCATAGGGCATGCAGCACGGGCTTAAAAAGCTGATGTCCTTGCTTGGCCCTGAGAGCGTGCAACACCTTGCGCAGCAAGGCCCCTAGGCATTCGGTGAGCGTCTAGAGGCGTTTTTAAATTACGATAACGCGCTGTTAGAGCACCTACAGCAGAAGATATCTGTATCATTTGCGTCTGTGACGCCACCGTCAGTGACGGATGATTTTCCCCGCCCTAAACCGCTCATGGTGAGCGTTAAGATCTTCAAGGGGAAGGATAAAGAGAATCTACTGTATGGGTGAGAGAGTTCGAGATGGCCATCGCATCCGCCATGCTCCAGACCGAGCAACAGCGCGTGGCGCTAG